TCAAGCTGAGTCTATCAGGCAGCGAGAGGCTGACTCACTCATGCTGAGTCTATCAGGCAGAGGGAGGCTGACACACTCAAGCTGAGTCTATCAGGCAGAGGGAGGCTGACACACTCAAGCTGAGTCTATCCGGCAGACACGTTGACACACCTTAAATACCCTTTTTTCCTCTCGTGTCGCTGGTTGCAGGCGTCAATGTCCCTGCAGCCGGATCTCTGACCAGGCCTTCTGCTCAGTTACCTGGTCAACCAGGCTGTTGACGCCGCTGCTCGCAGTCTGACGTACGAGTCACAGTTCGGTTGATCAGGTATCAGTTGGATGTGTTTGTCAGGTTCTCTTTTGAGCGCCATGAGAGGTTATGCACCTCATGTCTAGACCTTAGAGTGAGCGTGTTGAAAGTCCTTGAATGGTGATATGATCAATCTTTATTGACAACTTTCATTATACGATTCGTCTGTATCCCTGTCAAAGATACTGGATCCCTGTACGGATCCAGGGGGCCAGATTCACAAAAGCACTTACGCAAACACTTACGAACCTGTACATCTTTTCTCAATCTTTGGCAGCTTTGTTTTCCAATTATTAAACAGTTAATGAGCTCAGAAGCACCAGGAGGCTGTTTATAACAATAACAACAGTTGATTGGCAAGTTTTCATGCTTGTAAACTGTTTAATAAATGTAACCAAAGCCGTCAAAGATTGAGGAAAGATGTACACGTTCGTAAGTGCTTGCCTAAGTGCTTTCGTGAATCTGGCCCCAGTTCTGTTTTTATTTGTTCAAAAATTCACGAATCGCTTTGTCTGTAGTATTGATTCTGTGAAATTTCTTTGTAAACCTTTCTTTGATTTTATTATGTCGCAATCCTGTGATACGAATGTCACAATAAAGGTGCTTTCTTGTGTATTCATTATTAGGGTTAGAAAGATGTGCAGGTCTCTATACATTATACCCCCCTCAGTGTAAAACAAATGTATAACACTGAAACTATGAGATGTATAACATTAGAAGCTTTTGACAGTTATCTTCAAAATTTCAAACCAACTGAATCCTATGCCTTTACTGATGGCTCTGTGCAGTTAGGTACTGGTAGAACAGGTTGTGCATGTGTAGTATATGAAGGGAATGAAATGATCATGTCTAGTGCACAGAGACTGAACAACTGGGCAAGCACGACACAGACCGAGCTATTGGGTATTTATCTAGCCACTGAGTACCTTAAGCTCAATGGTGGTGGAGTTATTTTCTGTAACTCTAAAAGTGCTCTGCAGTCCTTAAATAACCCAACATAAGTTTTTCCAATGATGATAATAACTATTGTATAAAATTTGTGTGGATCCCATCCCATGTTGGAGTTGGAAAACATGACTTGTAGATCGATTGACCAATGAGGCTTGCAGGAAAGAAAACACTGATTATGACTTTGGACTATCTAATGCAATTATTAGAAACATACAAATTAAAAAAAAAATACTTTTGATCTAGAAGAACTAAGAAATGCCCAGAGACCTGAAAGTTGTAGTATTAAAAGTAATAATAGGTATTTGTATGGTCAGCACAGTAACCGGACCAGGCAATGTGATGTAGTCATTGTGGTAATTCGCCTTGGCTATAGACACATCTGGCAGGTTAGTGAGGCTGAGCCACTACCCGAATACTCAGATTGTAAACTCTGTGACAAACCTTTAATGCATTCACTAGAACACTATAAAGTTGAATGTGAAACCGTAAAGGATTTAAGACCTCCTGGCCTCTTGTACCACCAACTGTGTAACTATTTCATTGAATCTGGTGTACTTTTTATTTTTTTTTATTTTTTTTATTTTTTTTTTATTATTTTCTACCACAAACGTGGCCACACATTTACAATGCTTACCAGCATATACATTTTCTTCTGTCCTCCATGGACAGGGTTAGCAATGTGTTAAACATATAGTTCAAGGGTTTATTGAACAATCAACCACAGAAGGTGATTCGATGCTTTTAAAATGCTAAGCTAACCTACATACGTAAATGCATAGATATACAGATTTACGTATGCCCTACATAAAGTGTTAGATGTGTCTTTTACATAGTGTCATTAATGTGCATTTACAAAGGAGTTATGTAATTCTGATCATCTTCCATATATACTTTATACACATATACATACACACACACACATATATATATGTACACATACATATATACATACATGTATACATACATATATACACACACACATGCATTCACATACATTTGTCTCTTCTTACCCTGACAGAGTGAGATAGCTGATAGAGAAACTAGTTTGCAATTAAGCACTTAATCACTGAAGGTGATGAAGGTGCTTTTACAAGCTCAGGTTATATAGTTACATCACATACATTATATAATTGATACATTACATGGTTAATCTTGGGTACAAGTCCAATATCTGGTGTACTGGACGACATCCTAACAATTTACTCGAAATTTGCTTGTCCATTTTCAAGAAAGAAGAACAATTTTACTGATTTGATTTTTAAGCTGCATCTCTTACGAACCCATCCCTGCCCTTGTGCACAAATAGAAAGTTGGGTTTACAAATTCGTAAACTGAAACATGTATAATGTCTAATGTAGTTAAATGTAACCATGATATATATATGTGCTTCAGCCTACAGTTTAGAACTATTGTCTTGTGTATGACCCTCTGTCCTGTGTGACAGTCAATACCAGCATTATCCTCACTCTAATAAGACTTAATGAATTCTTCAGATTAGGCAAATTGTAATTAATTTTGTTAGTGAAGATAAAAATAAAGTAATCAGATGAGATGTACAGAAATTTGTACAATTATAACACATATTATGAATGATACACATCAATAAATACCAGTTATTAAAATACTGGTCTGATTTCATAGAAATAAATAGCTAATTCTGGGACACCACGTGTAATTCTGGGATAGCACGTGTAATTCTTACATAGTCTACTGGTTGGTCCCAAATCTGCACACAGATAGTCTACCACATGAGACCCAAGGCATGGCAGGATGTGCAGAATACACAGAGATAACACCTCTGATAGAGACATCAGAGGCCCGAGACTGTTCAATGGCTTCCACAGGATGTGGCCGAATACAGTGTTCCGTTGAAGACACAGAGGCCCGACTGTTCAACACGCTTCCACTACACACAGGGGTAACTGGCCGACCCCTTACATCAAGAGAGAACTATCAACATCAGAGGCCCGAGACTGTTCAACACGCTTCCACTACACATAAGGGGCATAACTGGCCGACCCCTTACAGTGTTCAAGAGAGAACTATCAACATCAGAGGCCCGAGACTGTTCAACACGCTTCCGCTACACATAAGGGGCATAACTGGCCGACCCCTCACAGTGTTCAAGAGAGAACTTGACAAATACCTCCAAAGGATACCTGATCAACCAGGCTGTGATTCATACGTCAGGCTGCGAGCAGCCGCGTCCAACAGCCTGGTTGACCAGTCCAGCAACGAGGAGGCCTGGTCGACGACCGGGCCGCGGGGACGCTAAGCCCCGAAATCATCTCTAGGTAACCTCAAGGTAACCATCCAGTACATATTGTATCGTACTAGCTAAGAATGTGTTAAATAAATATTTTGTTAGTTTGTGATATGCTATTTTAAACTAAGAATGTGTAATCAGAATACAACGCATAAATATAATTACTTTATCTTAGAAACTAAAGAACATACTACAAGAATGTCAGACTCTTCATAGAACCATCGTTATTATATTCTTGTATTAATAACGCCATTCAAGTGTTTGCCAGCAGACTAGAGTCGAGCAAGCGCGGCTCTGTTACTTCAATACATTTAAACATCTACTATACTGTTCCTAAGCAACTCTGAAAACATAATTCTCTCCCTATTTAGGGGAGAGGAGGACAGGCAGATAGACTCCATCATCCCTATCTGCCTCTCCTCCCTTCTTCATTACATGCTCTCTCTCCCTCCCTCGTTCCCTATCTACCTATGCGCCCACCCACCTCTCCTCCCTCCCTCCCTCAGCCGCAGGTGTTGGCATAGGCAATGGAAGATGATAACGTGCTCTTTGGCTGTAAAAACTGTCTAGCCTTGACTGACGGGGACCCAACCCTGCGCGCCAACAATGGCTCGGTCCCGCCAGCTCGATGCATAAGCGACCTCTCGGATTACTCGGGGCGGGAGAGGAGTTGGGGGGCAGGGCGGTGACTGCCTCTACAGTCTGAAACATAATGAGCCACAGGAGAGGCATCACGCACAAGCAGAGGAATGGACGGCAGGCCCGGGAGAGGGGAGGAGACGCCTGTCCAATAAAAAACAGACAATGTTTTGGTAGAGATCGGAATAGTGGCTAATATTCGGGTGGGGGGTGGGGGGTGGGGAGGGACTGAAGTAAATGTGTAGGGATATAGTTTTTGTCCCCATTCCCCTACTAGGTACACACCACATATGGGTGAGTATCCAAATAGGATAAATAGAACGAAAATAATCCATTATTTCCCCTAATGTGGATATTTACTCATAATTGAATCACGTGTTTTTTGTGATTATTCTTGCATATACATACATATACATACATACATACATATACATACATATACATACATACATACATACATACATACATACATACATACATACACAGTATACATTGAAATGAACACGACAGCATTAATGCAGTTGTTTATTTTTTGAATATTTTTCCATTATGCATAAACGTCTTTTACCAACCGAGGGGCGAAGATACACTTCTTCCCCTTAAACCGTATGGCGTTCTGATGATACAAACATGTGTCAGCCGTACTCAGAGATTACGGGTTATTCATGCCCGTGCCACCTTTTGGGAGCCTTAATCTTAATCAATCAATCAATCAATCGTACTCCCAGAGTAAACGTTCCGATGACCATAAAACGAGTCATTCCATCTCGAATTTTACGAAATTTCGTAAAATTCTATGGATCTCTATGTATCTTTGAGAAAATACTAAGATAATGCATCTTTTGACTGTGAATACTAGCTGCAGGTGCCTTTCAAACGCCATGTAAGTTCAGTAGAGTTTCTAGTTGTGCTACTTTTAAGATCAATGTAGTCCAGAAGGTCGTGTTTGTGCCTGGGGGAGTCCAGTGAGTCGTGTTTGTGCCTGGGGGAGTCCAGTGGGTCGTGTTTGTGACTGGGGGAGTCCAGTGGGTCGTGTTTGTGTCTGGGGGAGTCCAGTTGGTCGTGTTTGTGTCTGGGGGAGTCCAGTGGGTCGTGTTTGTGTCTGGGGGAGTCCAGTAGGTCGTGTTTGTGTCTGGGGGAGTCCAATAGGTCGTGTTTGTGTCTGGGGGAGTCCAGTAGGTCGTGTTTGTGTCTGGGGGAGTCCAATGAGTCGTGTTTGTGACTGGGGGAGTCCAGTGGGTCGTGTTTGTGTCTGGGGGAGTCCAGTTGGTCGTGTTTGTGTCTGGGGGAGTCCAGTGGGTCGTGTTTGTGTCTGGGGGAGTCCAGTGGGTCGTGTTTGTGTCTGGGGGAGTCCAATAGGTCTTGTTTGTGTCTGGAGGAGTCCAGTAGGTCGTGTTTGTGTCTGGGGGAGTCCAGTGGGTCGTGTTTGTGTCTGGAGGAGTCCAGTTGGTCGTGTTTGTGTCTGGGGGAGTCCAGTGGGTCGTGTTTGCGTCTGGGGGAGTCCAGTAGGTCATGTTTGTGTCTAGGGGAGTCCAGTAGGTCGTGTTTGTGACTGGGGGAGTCCAATAGGTCGTGTTTGTGTCTGGGGGAGTCCAATAGGTCGTGTTTGTGTCTGGGGGAGTCCAATGAGTCGTGTTCGTGTCTGGGGGAGTCCAATGAGTCGTGTTCGTGTCTGGGGGAGTCCAATGAATCGTGTTCGTGTCTGGGGGAGTCCAGTGAGTCGTGTTTGTGTCTGGGGGAGTCCAGTAGGTCGTGTTTGTGTCTGGGGGAGTCCAGTAGGGCGTGTTTGTGTCTGGGGAGTCCAGTAGGTCGTGTTTGTGTCTGGGGGAGTCCAATGAGTCGTGTTTGTGTCTGGGGGAGTCCAATGAGTCGTGTTTGTGTCTGGGGGAGTCCAGTAGGTCGTGTTTGTGTCTGGGGGAGTCCAGTGGGTCGTGTTTGTGTCTGGGGGAGTCCAGTAGGTCGTGTTTGTGTCTGGGGGAGTCCAGTAGGTCATGTTTGTGTCTGGGGGAGTCCAGTAGGTCGTGTTTGTGTCTGGGGGAGTCCAATAGGTCGTGTTTGTGTCTGGGGGAGTCCAATGAGTCGTGTTCGTGTCTGGGGGAGTCCAATGAGTCGTGTTTGTGTCTGGGGGAGTCCAGTAGGTCATGTTTGTGTCTGGGGGGAGTCCAGTAGGTCGTGTTTGTGTCTGGGGGAGTCCAGTAGGTCGTGTTTGTGTCTGGGGGAGTCCAGTGGGTCGTGTTTGTGTCTGGGGGAGTCCAGTGGGTCGTGTTTGTGTCTGGGGGAGTCCAGTAGGTCGTGTTTGTGTCTGGGGGAGTCCAGTGAGTCTTGTTTGTGTCTGGGGGAGTCCAGTGGGTCGTGTTTGTGTCTGGGGGAGTCCAGTAGGTCGTGTTTGTGTCTGGGGGAGTCCAGTAGGTCGTGTTTGTGTCTGGGGGAGTCCAGTAGGTCGTGTTTGTGTCTGGGGGAGTCCAGTGGGTCGTGTTTGTGTCTGGGGGAGTCCAGTGGGTCGTGTTTGTGTCTGGGGGAGTCCAGTAGGTCGTGTTTGTGTCTGGGGGAGTCCAGTAGGTCGTGTTTGTGTCTGGGGGAGTCCAGTGGGTCGTGTTTGTGTCAGGGGGAGTCCAGTAGGTCGTGTTTGTGTCTGGGGGAGTCCACTAGGTCGTGTTTGTGTCAGGGGGAGTCCAGTAGGTCGTGTTTGTGTCTGGGGGAATCCAGTAGGTCGTGTTTGTGTCTGGGGGAGTCCACTAGGTCGTGTTTGTGTCTGGGGAGTCCACTAGGTCGTGTTTGTGTCTGGGGGAGTCCAGTGGGTCGTGTTTGTGTCAGGGGAGTCCAGTAGGTCGTGTTTGTGTCAGGGGGAGTCCAGTAGGTCGTGTTTGTGTCAGGGGGAGTCCAGTAGGTCGTGTTTGTGTCTGGGGGAGTCCAGTAGGTCGTGTTTGTGTCAGGGGGAGTCCACTAGGTCGTGTTTGTGTCTGGGGGAGTCCAGTAGGTCGTGTTTGTGTCTGGGGGAGTCCAGTGGGTCATGTTTGTGTCTGGGGGAGTCCAGTAGGTCGTGTTTGTGTCTGGGGGAGTCCAGTGGGTCATGTTTGTGTCTGGGGGAGTCCAGTGGGTCATGTTTGTGTCAGGGGGAGTCCAGTGGGTCATGTTTGTGTCTGGGGGAGTCCACAGACACACATCAGATCCACTCGTTTATAATTGTTGTTTAAGATTCAGCTACTGGGAACCAAAAGTTCCAAGTAGCACGGGCTATGGTGAGCCCGTGATGGACTTACCTGGCACAGGAGCGGAGCTTATAATTGTTTGACAATATTTTGCCCCTGGTGATGTAAAGGGCCTAGGCTTGAGGCTGTGCAAATTTATAAAACATGTTATATACAGTTTGTTAGTTATCATTCATGATTTAATATTTCTTATTGATTTATATTTATGTTTCTTATAATTTAACTTTTAATGTCGTTATTATTAAAAACAATTGTTCTTACTCAGTATCCCGTCATAATAGGCTTAGCAGTGTTTAACATTCAGTATATAATGTTGACATTATGATGATCAGTGTTAGGCTTTTAATATTATCTGCTGTCTTCAATTTGTATTTGAAATTTTGTAGATCATTTTACGAATTAACGTTTATTAATTTCCATGAATATAAATACTTGAATATTTCCGAATGAAGATTTTCAGTTATAATTTCCACTTCTCCTGCTCCTTCTCCCCCCCCCCGCCTCACAACCAGTAACTCCCCGCCTCACAACCAGTAACTCCCCGCCTCACAACCAGTAACTCCCCGCCTCACAACCAGTAACTCCCCGCCTCAGAACCAGTAACTCCCCGCCTCAGAACCAGTAACTCCCCGCCTGAGAACCAGTAACTCCCCGCCTCAGAACCAGTAACTCCCCGCCTCAGAACCAGTAACTCCCCGCCTCAGAACCAGTAACTCCCCACCTCAGAACCAGTAACTCCCCACCTCAGAACCAGTAACTCCCCACCTGAGAACCAGTAACTCCCTGCCTCAGAACCAGTAACTCCCCACCTCAGAACCAGTAACTCCCCGCCTCAGAACCAGTAAGGAACATGTCCTGGTAACTGTACCCCGTCACTCACCATAACACAACTACTGGTACACACACCTATGGTACCACCAGTTACCCTCATTCACTGCGTCTGTGTCTACCCTCAAAGTCTGCCAAATCAATTCAATAACTTTATTGCTTAATAACTTAAACAATAACTTAAACAATTCATAAAAGTTTAGAACATTTATAGTTGTGTTAGCGTGCATAAATTTACAGTGGCTTATTTACCTTGGAGAAATTCATGATGATTCTCGTAGGTGATTGTATTCTCATCTGACGATGAGAATACAATTGAAATGCCTAATATAAACTAATTATTCAAAGCATTTATAATAAAACAAATTCTCACCTACATAAACAGATTTTAGGTCTATACCGAATCCAAATCACTGCCAACACACACACACACAGTTCCTGCATCATAGTTCTACATATTGACATATCCTGTATCATAGTTCTGACTCTCTGATCTACCCCATCAGAGCGCCATCTCTCTGTGGAAATAGTTCCTTTAAAATTCCAATTATCCAGGTGTTTTTTTCCTGCTTTCTCTGCTGACTAATTATTTTGTTCCCTCCTGTGTACCTGCTGCACCATTATACATCACTCATTCTTAAGTTATATTTCTTGACAACTAAGTTTATATTTCTGGAAAAGTTAAAGTGGCCAGGGACAAGTCAGTGCCTGAAAAAGTAAACTGAATTTGTTTCAGGCAAAACGACATCATTCGCTTGTGAACTATTTCTTTCAATGGTGAAGAATTCTTCACCATAGTGAAGGTACAGGTACCACAATCGGAAAAACCCATACTGGCTTCAGGTACCCATGCTGGTACCTGTGCCTGAAGTAGAGGTACCAGCTGAGTATGGCAGGTACACCAGCCATTCGCAGCTGGAGTTGCTAGAGATTCATAGAGATAGCCAGGAGGGATGAAGGGGGATAGATATGGAGCGGCCAAAGTATATCAACTATACCATATGGAAGATATTTATAACATAAGAGGAACGCATGACTGAGGAGCAAGGGAAGGCCATTGGCATAGTAGACCTTCGGGACAACGTGATTGAACTGTTGAGAGATAATGGTAAAATATAAGAAGATCTGGAGGAGGAGAGAAGGACACGGGGAGAAGGACACGGGGAGAAGGACACGGGGAGAAGGACACGGGGAGAAGTACAAGAAGAGGACAAGTACAGGAACTTAAAGAGGAGGACAGCGTCTCTGGGAAGGCAGCTTCAAGAATAACACGAGATGGTAGACAAAAAAGATGAGGTTATTGACGAACTAAAGGTCAAACTTGACAGTAGTGACCAACTCTGCATTGAAACTTAGAACAAATTAGAAGAACTGATGGAAAATTTTTGAAAAAAATGGAGGCAAGTGTAAATAAGTTACAACACAGAATAAAAACGGTAAAAGAGGAAGGGAAGGCAACAAAGGAAGCGAATAGAGCAACAGAGTAAAGAATGAAGCAAACAGAGAATGTTAACCGAGGTTTAGGGAGTAAGACCAGATCAAACGTTGCTGTAGTGGCAAAGTCTTCAGAGGGAAAGAAGATAATTAAGGCAGCATTACACAGAGAGTAATCACACTAACGTGACTACATCCAACCCGCATGATAAATAGAACAGGGATACAAATTCATGTAAGGGACCGACTAAACAAAGTCAAAGCAGCATTAGGAAAACTGAGAAGATTCCGAAGCCTCAGTACTAACATTCAGATCCACCTATATAAGGCTCTAGTTCGGCCGCATCTAGAATATCCCCCAGTACCACTACACACCATAAAGAAAACTAACATGCAGAAACTGCAAGCAGTACAAAATAAGGCGCTAAGGAGAGCAGCAAAACACCGTCCACCACATGATCAGACAATCCAGGAGCTCCATGAACTCCTGAACACACAGCCACTAAACATCAGACTGCATCACCAAGCCATCAGGGTGTGGAACACCATCGAAATGTTAGAGGACCCAATGTTAGAAAGATTGCTCCTAGATGAGACGCCCCGCTCCCACAGCTGGTGGCCCAAGAGCCTCGATTCTCTGGATGAAAACCCAGCCCCACAGTATATAATTCCCAGATGAGATACTGACCAGATATCCTTCCCCCATAATTGGAAAACTGAGTATGTAGGTGTGTATGTATGCATGTGTGTGTGTGTATATGTGTGTATGTATGGGTATATGTGTGTATGTATGCGTATATATGTATATGTAGATATTATATATATATATATATATATATATATATATATATATATATATATATATATATATATATATATATATATACATATATATATATATTATTAAATATGACCGAAAAAGTAAGATTAATAATTCTAACACGAATTTTCTCAATCTTTCGTACATTACGCTTCACTGTTGGAGGTAAATCAAAAATCACTTCTCCAAAATTCATTTTTATTTCTAGTCTGACGCGACACGGGCGCGTTTCGTAAAACTTATTACATTTTCAAAGACTTCACAAATACACAACTGATTAGAACTTGCGTTTCTCTGATTTTATATCTACATTTGAGTGAGGTGGGAAGGGTGATGTGGCATTAACACAAGACAGAACAATAGGGGATATTAATAGGGTATTAAAAGTATCAACACAAGACAGAACAGAAACAATGGGTATTGAATAGAAGTGTTTGTAGAAAGCCTATTGGTCCATATTTCTTGATGCTTCTATATTGGAGCGGAGTCTTGAGGTGGGTAGAATATAGTTGTGCAATAATTGGCTGTTGATTGCTGGTGTTGACTTCTTGATGTGTAGTGCCTCGCAAACGTCAAGCCGCCTGCTATCGCTGTATCTATCGATGATTTCTGTGTTGTTTACTAGGATTTCTCTGGCGATGGTTTGGTTATGGGAAGAGATTATATGTTCCTTAATGGAGCCCTGTTGCTTATGCATCGTTAAACGCCTAGAAAGAGATGTTGTTGTCTTGCCTATATACTGGTTTTTTTGGAGCTTACAGTCCCCAAGTGGGCATTTGAAGGCATAGACGACGTTAGTCTCTTTTAAAGCGTTCTGTTTGTGTCTGGAGAGTTTCTCATGAGTAGGCTGGCCGTTTTTCTGGTTTTATAGTAAATCGTCAGTTGTATCCTCTGATTTTGTCTGTAGGGATAACGTTTCTATTAACAATATCTTTCAGGACCCTTTCCTCCGTTTTATGAGCTGTGGAAAAGAAGTTCCTGTAAAATAGTCTAATAGGGGGTATAGGTGTTGTGTTAGTTGTCTCTTCGGAGGTTGCATGGCTTTTCACTTTCCTTCTTATGATGTCTTCGATGAAACCATTGGAGAAGCCGTTATTGACTAGGACCTGCCTTACCCTACAGAGTTCTTCGTCGACTTGCTTCCATTCTGAGCTGTGGCTGAGAGCACGGTCGACGTATGCGTTAACAACACTCCTCTTGTACCTGTCAGGGCAGTCGCTGTTGGCATTTAGGCACATTCCTATGTTTGTTTCCTTAGTGTAGACTGCAGTGTGGAAACCTCCGCCCTTTTCCATGACTGTTACATCTAGAAAAGGCAGCTTCCCATCCTTTTCCGTCTCGTAAGTGAAACGCAGCACGGAACTCTGCTCAAATGCCTCCTTCAGCTCCTGCAGATGTCTGACATCAGGTACCTGTGTAAAAATGTCGTCAACATACCTGCAGTATATGGCCGGTTTCAAGTTCATGTCGACTAAGACTTTTTGCTCGATGGTACCCATGTAGAAGTTTGCAAACAGGACACCTAGGGGAGAACCCATGGCGACCCCATCTACTTGCTTATACATGTACCCATCCGGGCTCAAGAAGGGTGCCTCTTTAGTACAAGCTTGGAGTAGTTTCCTCAGAATACTTTCTGGCATGTCAAGAGGAGTACAGGCTGGATCACGATACACTCTGTCGGCTATCATTCCGATTGTCTCGTCCACAGGTACGTTGGTAAACAGCGATTCTACGTCCAACGAGGCTCTTATCCCTGTGGCCCGTGCGCCCCGCAGTAAGTCCACAAATTCCTTTGGAGACTTCAGGCTGAAGGCGCAAGGAACATAAGGAGTCAGCAGGCCGTTGAGTCGCTTCGCCAGTCTGTACGTGGGTGTGGGTATCTGGCTAATGATTGGCCGAAGTGGGTTTCCAGGCTTGTGCGTCTTGACATTTCCATACGCATATCCAGGTTTATATTCCCCAATGATCTTTGGCAGGTGGAGTCCGGATTTCTTGGCGTTCACAGTTTCGATCAGTTTGTTGACCTTTGCTTTTAATTCGGCTGTAGTGTCCTTCGTTACCCTTTGGAACTTAGTTTGGTCAGAGAGTATGATGTTCATTTTCGCCAGATATTCGTCTTTTTAAGAATGACATATATTGGCGACTTGTCACCTCTCCTGACAACTATCTCCTTGTTCTCACGAAGGCTTTTAGCTGCCGCTTTAAGCTCGGGGGACAGTATGGTGCTTCTGTAGTTGCCTCGATTCTTTCCTCCTTCTGCAATAAGTTCTGCTTGTAAGGTATCTTTGGTAGTGACCTTCTTTTGTGTCTCGAGGTCGAATATGTCGTCCAACAGAATTTCCAACTCTACTTTCCGGGCCAGGAGAGGTGACAAGTCGCCAATATATGTCATTCTTAAAAAAGACGAATATCTGGCGAAAATGAACATCATACTCTCTGACCAAACTAAGTTTCAAAGGGTAACGAAGGACACTACAGCCGAATTAAAAGCAAAGGTCAACAAACTGATCGAAACTGTGAACGCCAAGAAATCCGGACTCCACCTGCCAAAGATCATTGGGGAATATAAACCTGGATATGCGTATGGAAATGTCAAGACGCACAAGCCTGGAAACCCACTTCGGCCAATCATTAGCCAGATACCCACACCCACGTACAGACTGGCGAAGCGACTCAACGGCCTGCTGACTCCTTATGTTCCTTGCGCCTTCAGCCTGAAGTCTCCAAAGGAATTTGTGGACTTACTACGGGGCGCACGGGCCACAGGGATAAGAGCCTCGTTGGACGTAGAATCGCTGTTTACCAACGTACCTGTGGACGAGACAATCGGAATGATAGCCGACAGAGTGTATCGTGATCCAGCCTGTACTCCTCTTGACATGCCAGAAAGTATTCTGAGGAAACTACTCCAAGCTTGTACTAAAGAGGCACCCTTCTTGAACCCGGATGGGCACATGTATAAGCAAGTAGATGGGGTCGCCATGGGTTCTCCCCTAGGTGTCCTGTTTGCAAA